TTCCAGGACTCCCGGTTTTTCCATATCTCCAGTAAATGCGACAATTATTAATGAGGAAATAAAAAATAATGTAAGTCACAGTGTTCCATTGTGTTATTTATTCATGACTCTGCCTTATGGAGAAAAAAATTATCAGGTTAAAGTGTGTAAATTATTAATTCCCTTTTCCGAGTTTCCGGAGTGCTCATAATTTGAATTAGTCATGGGAATCCTAGCTAACGTAGGGGAAGTTTTCGAAAACGGAAAGCCTGGGGGTTGTAGGTAGTTGAGTATATGGTGATTTCATTCCGTCTTGTTAAACTGTATTAGAGACGTGGTGATGAAAGAGGGAAATAGGATTTTAATAGTCACGCCCATTGGTAATTGACTAAATTAATGACACCGTCTAATCGTCATGTTTAAGGAAAAGGTCCTCAAAGATTACCTAAATCAAAACAAGTGTTGTCAATATTGTTTCTTTAGCTCCTTTTCGAAAATGGGTTTATGTCCAGGTAGCTGGATTACACCACAACTGTTTTTTGGAATTAAATATTTGCTTCCTTACCAAAACTGTTGCGTACTACTCTGTACCATATGTTGACAAAAATTTAAAATATCGCAATAATCCTGTTCCTCACGGTAATTTGTCAAATCTGTCAGGGATATGCAGTTTTTATCCTGAATCACTATTTTAGCAAATTGTTAACTACTCCCACTCGATTAAATTAAGGGGGAAATACTCCGGAATCAACGCACGAGGAAAGATGAATATTGCCCATCAGATTAGGATTATTGATGATTAGGATTAGTTCTTTTAATCAATGTCGAAATGAAAGGGAGATATGAAATGATAGGCGACACTTAATAGATGAGCTCTTATCAATCAAGGAACATTTTCCACTGAAGTCTAGGAACTGATTCCTAGAGTTCTCTCCCATTAATTCGAATATTAATTGCTTCCTTCTTTGAAAGGATCTCCTGCAAGAGATCTATGGGAGGAGAATCTAGATCAATTTTTCCTTTTTTATATCTCATCCTGAACAGATATTTAGACATTATTGTAAAATCTGGCTCAAAATACAGGTTTATTCACCACTGTTGGAATTCTTCTATTGAGGAAACTTTGCTATTCCTTTGTGTACTATCAGCTAAGTCGAATTCTTCCTTTATATTTTTTAATATTTCTTAATTAAATCTTAACTTGGTTGCCACAAAACGAACATAAATTTTTGTTTCTAATTATCAAGAAAAGAAGCAAAATTTGTCCACTATGAATTCAATTAGAAATTAACAACCAAAATGATGTGAAGATAGTTTTGTTGATTCGCAAGTTTTCGCAAATACAAGAAAAGTCCTTTATTTGCTATATTCAGATAGGGAGCAGGAGGAGAAAGGGAAAAGGATGGATATGCAAAAAAATATTCGAGGCGAAGAATGCTTACCCGAAGGGAATTACGGAGATTATCTTTCCACCATTAATATCCGCAATTATGCTGGTCTCGTCCTCTCGGCGTAGCGTTGCGCTCTATCCGCATAACGTTAATGCAATTACTGCTGGAGCTCCAAATGTATTTCTTTCTCCGGATGAGGTTAAACTTTGATTACGTGTCTCTGCCGAGTCAGCGGATCAGTTTGATCTTCAAGATCCTCCAAAACACACCGTCGACTTGTTTATCATAAATCAAATATTTAATTTTCTCCCTTTTTCAAAACTATATAACGTTCCTTCCACTTTTAATTAAAAATCTAATAAAAAAAGAAAGAAAACGTGTGTATAGACTGAGGGAAAAAAAGACAACCTTCATACTGTGGGTTTCATTTAATTAAACATCAAACAGGAAAATGTTTCGATTAAACAATTTTCCTAGATACTAAAAAGAATCTCTTTTAATTTTTTCCAAAGTTTAATATTTCTTTTGTTTGTACACCAATTTTTTTCTCTTGTTCAGCTTTTTCTAATAACATCCAATTTTCTTGCTTAAAGAATACTAAAAAGTTATTTTTCAGTTTCACTATTTTTTTTACTTATTGCAAAAAACTCTGAAACTTTGTCAATAAAAAAAAGGAACTAAAATTACAAAAAATTCACCGTGTTGGAAAAATAGGAAATGCTATTCATGAGTTTCAGAAAAGCTGCTCATATTTTTTCATTTTAGTTTATAATGTTGTTTCGCAAAGTTATTGCGATTTGAATGTACACGCGGAAAATTTGTCCCAATTTTTCTTTGTAAAACATTCGAAGGGAGGGAATTTTTTTTTTTTTGAACAAATCTAAATTTTTAATTGTAATATTGTAAAATAAATTCAGTGGAAATTGAAAAGAGATGAATTGTTGGAGTTGTTGAGTTTTTGATGAGGTTTATGTGTGTGACTTTGATAAAAAGAAAATGTTATCATCAATTTAGCTTCTGTCCCTTTGTAAGCGGATATACCGTTCACTTACGTAGCAAATTAGAAATCTGACTTATCTTCCAGGGCTGTAAGCTGATTGGTCACGTTTGCTTCTCAAGTGTCTCTTCAAACCTAAAAGACGACCATAAATCCTATCGTTAAATTTCCAGAAGATTTTAGAGGGTTCCAAAACCACTTGAAATATATATCTTTCAATATCACCTTGGAACAATCCATTCGTCCTTCTTCGCAGGTCCTTGACATATCTAACGAGCGTATCCGGGGGGTGAAGGGAATCCCTCTTTCGGGAAAATGAACTGACTGCGGGTGGATATTATCCCTTCATATCATCTTTTCATCCTAGGTCAATAACTTCCCCCAATGTTACGTCCTTAACTTCTTCAGAGAAGAAAATTTTTTTAAAACATTTCACAAAAATTAATTCTAGTCGTTGCCCATACTTTGCTAGACTTCTCATAGTTCAAATGTCGCAAAAGTTGAAAATGGAACATCAACTAAAAAGAAGAGGGAAAATAAAATGAAGGAGTAATTTGGCAAAAAAGCGTAGAATATCAAAAGAGAAGAAATGGAAATTCAAAAGGTAAAGAAAGGAAGAGAATGAATAAATAAAAGTTTTCAATAAGCAGTCAGGAGGAATACTCAACAGTAGAAAATTCAAGTCTGTCTGGATAAGACGAGTCTATAATTAAATTGATTTTTCGCTTTTCTCCAATTACTGGGAATTCTCGATCTACTAACTCGCCAACTTGCTCCGAGAATGAACGATCAGTATCTATTAGAGCTGCAAGTTTCACAAGTCACAGACACTCATTAATATGATCTAGAGTAACATGCATTATGAAGGTAATAGACAATTCAGTGATTATTTTATTAAAAGTCTATTATTGCAGTGTATCGAAAAATTCGAACTCTGGCAAAAGAAATTTGCTTAAATATTATTTTCTTGCCTTCTGATTCCAGACAAATAATTGCAATTAGATTTTTTTAATAACTTCCGCTAGCTAATGTTCCGCTTCTCTTTTCTGATGGTGTCTTTGATAAACTTAAAGGGTTTATTGCAGTGTTGAGTAATTCATCCACTTCCTCCCTTTAGTCACCTTCTTGTGACAAGCGATGGGTTACGGGTGAACTATTCTCACATCAGTCTACCGAGAACACCTCGACGCCCACTTCATCAGTTTCTCCTGAACAACCTCGTTGCTCCATCAAATCAAACCTTCCAGTGATCAGAGTCCACCACTCCCAATCCTGTAGCTATTAAACCGGGAAAAGCAATAAGGAATCGAAACCTTTGAATTAATTGTTTTTTCTCGAACGTCTGCTATTGAAGGAGTACTTTTCATGTTAAAAAAAACGTGGCGAAAGTAGAACCTTTCTCATCGTGACAAAGTGGTTCCAAATGCCAAAAACGTGGCCAAAACCCTCCAATATTTAAACTGGTGAATTTTAATACCCCAAATAATTAGGTTATTACTGTTAGAAACGACCCAAGCGTCATCATGGTATTTCAACCAATCGCGACCGTCATCATGGAATTTCAACCAATCGCAACCGTCATCATGGAATATTCATCCAATCACGATCGTCATCTTGCCAAATTCATCAAAAAAAAATTCTGTTTTTCTATTAGGAATGTAATTGATTAAATTGAATAATTGAATTCAGTTAAATTGACAATTGAAAGTTCTTACAGTCAATTTCTAACTGATTTTCTCTTAACAACTTTACGCAGTAGTTTGATAGATTTTTCCAGTAACACGAAAACAATTTAATTGATGTATTTTCAAGTGAATGTGGGCGCAAGGAATTACATTTGCAGGATTGGTTAACAAGTTTTAAAGAAGATGGAACGATTCCTGTTACTGATGACCTAAAAATGCCTCTAGAATTTGAAGAGACGGATAATCTGATGGGTTCGTGAGTTTTACCAGCTATGAGTCAAATTTCGGTGTTTAAATTCAGTAATTCAAACACCGAAATTTGATAACAGTTTCATTGTCTGTTACTATTTGATTTTTGTGTTTAGCGATGGGGGTTAGTAAGACACTAATTGCTGTAAACGATTTTTTAGAATTATGACCTGTGGCTGGAGTTTTTATTGTCTAAACTTAGGACAACTTGGTAATTCCATTTTGGGACATTAAATCGAAAATTCAAAGTGCCTTGAAAGGTTAAATAAAAAAAAGGTTATCAGATCGATTCTAATAACCAAAATGCAAGTTTTTTATCAGTTTTAATTTAGAAATTAGCGACGAATTGAATTATTAAGGAATAATTCATGAGATGGAAAATTTAAAGACTTTTCGGTGGAATATGAAATATTACTAGTTTCATAACTTTTCATTTTACTTACATTACATTACTTCCATTTTCCCATGAGGGGAAAATGGACTATATTGGCCGCCATTTTAGTATACATGAGGCTACATTCTAATATGGTTTTTGCTGTATAAAAAGGGGGCAAAAATAGGTCAAGTTTCATCTAAAAGAGCAACGTTTTATATATAAGGTTTCGTCTATTGTTGTCGTCGCGTTCCACACACTATAAATATTTCCGACGTCATCAAAAAGGAAGTTAATTAAAAAGCTCAAAAGCAGACATTACTTACCAAAAGAAAATAGTAAACAGACGAGGATGGAGAGAGAGGTAGACATCGCTTGATTGGCCAACGCTAATTTATTATTCGCATTCTGGCTTCACTATCTGTCTTGCATTCTCCAAGTGATCAAGTCCGACGGGCAAGTGTCAAATGCACTCCGTTTCTTCGTTCATTGTTCTAATTCCCAATAAGGGAATTTGGCAATTTTCACCAATAGTTTCACTTTCGAACAATTCACTTGGACACGTTTTCTTCTTTGAAAACTTTCTTCTTCAACCCTCATCATCTTTTGGCAACATTGCTTTTTCAATTTTTTTTTCAAAACTTGAATTAATGGAATTAATTAGCGTCACTGAATTCGTTATTTAATCACTTAAACTTTAATCGACGCAATTTATTCATTCCATTTTTGTCCTCTTGAGTTTCCGGACGTCCTGCAACTCGATCAGAGTAAGTTATCCGGCATAAACTTCAAAGTTAGACACTCATAATTTAAATATTCACGAGAGCCGACGATTTTAATTACCTGGGACATGCCGTCGAATATCTCAATTATGACTACGGATCTTAACGTTCATCGCGACGTGAATAATTCGTAACTTGATTCACAGATCCAAGCTTCATTTATTCTCGTTTTTGAATCTAGATCTCGCGACTTTGAGGAAACTTTTTTTTTCACCTGAACAACAATAAAAATTTCAGAGATTTCTCATCAGCTTTTTCTTTAAATTACCTTAATTTTTTTGTTCTTTTATTTTTCGTTAACGCGTTCTTTCATAAAACTAATTTTCAAGTTGATACCAAGAAATATGAAATTGAAGTCAAAAAGTATAAAACAGAAGATTTTTTTATATTTTGACTATGCCAAATTTAGTGAACCAACAAAAATATTTAAAACCCTCCAATTTTTTTTTATAAATTTTCATGTGTGCCATACTTTTTGGTATTAGTGGAACTTCTTGATTAGTGTAACAAAAAAAATATTTTGCTATCAAGTGAAAAACATTTTTTACTCTCAAAAAACATTTTTCAATAATTATTTAGCAATGAAAAAAATAAATTAAAAAAATGTCTACATCCTGCAGTATAAATACGTCCGATATGTTAAATAATAAATAACAATAATAATTTTGATATCAATGCTAAATCCTTTCATTCTACATCAATAATAATGATAACGTAGAGCTTTATATGCGACCTCTCCAAAATCAACTATCACTAATCCTAACAATTTCCATCGTAAATCTCCCGTATTATTGTCAATAAATAGTACGATATGTGGAGGATTGTTTAGCGAAAGTTTATAAATCCATTAAATGTTAGACTAAATAATCTTTCGCTGCGATCTCCAATTCTTGATAATTTGAAATAGTTTATGTAAAATAATTACAGAAATTTTGTTCTCTAAAATTTCTAAATGTTATAGAAATATATAATATGTTGGTAAAATTTCGATTGATTTTTTATCAATTAGCAAAGAATTACTATTAGTTGGCAATATTATTATTTATAAAAAAAAAAATATTATTTTATTTCTTCTTAACTTTTTATTTATTTTGTATTTTTAAATTCATTAGCTTATTTTATATAAAAACAAAAAAGTTAAACTGATATAATCTGAAATATTTTCACGCATCAGTTTGTATTTTAAGATACTATTTAAACATCGATAGCAGTTTAAGATGTTAATTTATATTTAATATACATACGAAATATATAATTAATTCAATATAAACAGTATTTAATTAATTAAAAATTTAAATGGAATGTACCACAATGAAAATAAAATTTTAATTTATTTCAATAATTAAACACTTTGAATTTATTTAAAAATTAATTAATTTCAATTTCATTAATTAATTTTAATTTAATTAATTAATTCGAATTAACAATTTTCATTTAAAATTGATTGCAAAGAAAATAAAATGTTTTTTTTCTAATTTTTCCAGATAAAAACAAAAGGATTTATTGTCTAATAATTTTATGAACAAAAAAAAAAAAAATTTATATAGTAAAAAAATGCTAAAAAATATATATACGATTTGATAGTTTGCCAAAAAATTTATTGTTAACAAACATCGCATTTTTAAGGAAATGCACCAAAAATTATTTGGCTGCCATATTACACATAATACATTTTCTCAAATGTGCGTTTTTTGATTCTTATACTTCTTTTGGCAAAATATCAAAACACTTAGATTACACAAGACGTTCTTATCTATAGATATGGATATTTTAGATTTCTGCGCTAAAATTTAAAATCTATTCCTTAAATATTTTACATTTATTTCGTATAATAAAAAATATCAATGTGAAAAAGTTTAAAATAAATATAAGTGTTAAATAGTGTAATAATTTTTTTGAAGTAAACAAATGTATAAAATATATTATTTATAATTCAATTTTAAATATATTATGTATTTAACAAATTTTTATTTTATATATTGTTAGAATTTAATATGTGACTTACTCCGAAGAAAAAAAATTTGAGGTTATGTTTGAAATTTTTAAAACTAAAATATACAATACGGATTGACTTTAAATATAAACAACTGATGTTTAAGTCCTCACTACATTCAAAGTAATGATTAAAATTTGATTTTAATTTTAAATTAAATGCAGAAACTTATAATTAAGGTAAAAATGGTACAAACATAACCTCAAAATGATTCACCTCTTGAGTACCTTTCTTCGGAGCGTGTCACATAATTATTTGCAAATGAATAAATAAATGATAAACACCTAAAAATTATAAAAATTATATTTTATATCCTATACTTAAAATACTTTTGAAATTTATTTAAAATTTGAATTTATAAAAGAATTCTTTCATCAAAAAGTATTTAATAAATATATTTATCAAATATTTATTTTTATTTGCGTATGCATTTTTAAAAAATTTTAATCTACAGTATTCGATAAAGAATTTCTTTTTAAAAAATTATTCAAATATTTATTTTTTAATCCTAAGTATTTTTTTCTAAAATTTTAACATTCATTAATTAAATATTTTCATTACAAGTATACTTTACATTTATGCATTCATTACCATGACATTTATAAATTTTTACACATATAATTTCCACTCATTACATGCTTTCACTACATTATACATTCCTTACCTCACATTGATTTAATACTTTCATTAAATATTTGCAAAATAATTTATTAAAATTCCCACATGTACATTCATTACCAGACATAATAATAACATTTTTTTTCCATTCATACAATTTGCAAAAAATTTACATTTTATCAAAAAAAAAAAAAAAATTTTCAAGTGAACTTGAAAAAGTAGAACGTGAACCAAAAAAAAACAAAAGTTTTAATGTGAAATTTATTCCTCCTCTAAATAATTAAAAAAAATGGGAAAAATGAACAAAAAAAATAATAGAATTACTATAAGTAATTGTCTAATTTTTTTTTCTTAATTATTTGAAAGAGAAAAAATGTGATAAATTTCACAGGCAATTATAGACTTTTTTTGTCGCACACTTATCGTGCCTTGAAAAGTGGTTAGACTTGAAAACAATAGGCACTTTTTTCCAGTGAAAAATTACAGTAACCAAGTTTTACTTATGTGACTCTTTTCATGCATAACTGGTGATTATTTTGTCGAAGAAAAAAAGCAAATTTGTTTGTTTTCTTTTTTTTTTTTTGCTGTTGCATTCGTGACAAAAAAATTAAGGTAATTCCATGAGGAAGAGACTGCTCATTTCACGGTTCACTTATTTACACCACTGTTTTTTTTTCTTCAAAACTATTTTTCGCATTATTTTCGTATTTTTGGGGATTTTTATTTGAAATTCATTTATTTATTCATGCGAATTTATGCTTTTACGTTTGTAAATAATAATATTTATTATTTACAATTTAAAAAAAAAAAAAAATCTGAAAACAGTTTTGAAAATACAATTTTCAATTTACTGCCAGAAACCTTGCTTAACACCCATGGATTCTTAACACCTAGGGGTATTTTTTCGACATTATTTACATCAATAATTGTTTTGAAAAGTAATTGGTCAATTGAAGACGTGGTCAATTGTCAACATTTAATATTAAAAAGTAAAAAGTTAAGAATATTTTTGTAAAATAATTTTCAGTTTGTGATGAGTAAGAACTAAATAAATGAATATCAAATTTTGCAGAATGGATAATAAGGTCAAATATTACTTGATAGGGAAAATAGTGAAATTAAAAAAAAAATTAGATTCACACCTTCGATTCTCGTGAACGGAACGTGTCTTTAAAATTGTTTTCACTATCACAATTTTCACGGTGGTTAAGAAAAATTACACTATACCATTAATTAGATTAGAAGAACATGAAGAGAAAACTTATTCCACACTTAAACACCGGTTTTTTTCTATTTCTACTTTTCAGAAAGCAAAAAAATGATTTATAGGGACGGACAATTTTAGAATGGACAAAAATGTCAACAACACCTTTCGTCAAATGTTTTCCTTTTTCTAAAACTTTTTTTTCCCCAAAAATGAAATGAACGATAATTTCATTTTTAAACTAGAACAAATGTTTTAAAAAACGAGATTTCATTAATCACTATAAGAAGAAAAGTGCGACGACGAGAAGAAGAACACCGTTTCGAAAAGAGATCCTCCCGCGTCAGGGATAGCGGAGGAACTACATTGCGCGAGCGCCACGGGGTTCCAAGCACGCAGCCGCCACGGTGCTGATATAATACACGTAAAAAAGTGCAGTATTCGTGTGCTGCGACCAATCCGTGCGCTCTCTCTCACTCACTCTCTCTCCCTCTCCCAAAGGGGGGTAGAAACAGCGTCTTGATAAAGAAGCGAAAGAGCGTGAATCCGATTATAACTTATGGCCCAGATAATTAAAAGAAATTACAAAGCGCACCATTGAACAGGCACGCGATTGGTCGTAACCGCGTTTCGCGAATCGTCAAAAAAAAGTATAAAGAAAAAATAAAATAAAGGAAAAAAAAGAAAACACATAGAACACAAGCTTCCAACTGAGTTATTGCTATCATTTGTGGTTTGGGCGTATTCGCGACCCAATGGGGGCACTGAAAAATGCCTCTCGCCTGCTGGCTAAAAGTTAGATATCACTGAAATGGTCACGCCAACGTCTCTTTTTTTATAGAAACACTTCCTATAAAAAAAAATAACAAGTGACCAATGATCTTTGAGATGGAAATGTGAACACTTTTCTCTGTCTTCTTCTTTTCCTCTATTCCACAAAAAGTAATAGGCATAATATAATGCCTCATCTCTACAAAAAGTTGAAAATATCCTCCACTTCATTTTATTATTAAATTACAATTAATTTAGAAACAAAAAATAAAAACGGTTTCCTCGGATAGCAAAAGAAAATTGAGCCTAAATGGCTTTGGCACTATTTAATTTTCAAATTTTGATGTCAAATTCGTCATCAGCGACCCCAAAAACCCCCGAGTGGCGTATTTCAACCCCATCTGAAAGAATTTTAAAAAATCCGCCATATTGGTTCCGCCATTTTGAATTTTGAAGTTTTTATGTCAAATTCATCATCATCGACCCCAAAAACCCCTGAGTAACGTATTTCAACTCAATCTGAAGAAATTGAAAAATATCCGCCATATTTGTTCTGCCATTTTTAATTTTCAAATTTCGATGTCAAATTCGTAATCTGCGACCCCAAAAAACCCCTGAGTAACGTATTTTAATCAAATTTGATGGAATTAAAAAATATCCGCCATATTGGATCCGACATCTTGAATTTTAAAAATCTGATATCAAATTGGTAATCCGCCATTTTCAATTGTGAAGATCTGATAGCAAATTTCTAATCAACAGGGAGCCTAAAAACCCCTTAGTCACGTATTTTAACCGAATCTGATAGAATTGAAGATTATCCGCCATATTGTTTCCGACATTTTTAATTTTGAAAATCTGATATCATATTCACTGTTGGCGATCACAAATACCCCTAAGCAATAAGTTTCAATTAAGTTGAATTAATTTCTATTTAAAAGTCCGCCATATTGGTTCCGCCATTTTGAATTTTCAAAATCTGATGTCAAATTCGTAATCTGCGACCACAAAAACCTCTGAGTATCGTATTTCAACCCAAACTGAAGAAAATGAAAAATATCCGCCATATTGGTTACGCCATTTTGAATTTTGAAAATCTGTCATCAAATTTGTAATCATAGGAGCTAAAAATTAAAAAAATTGTGACGTGTTTTTATATCTTATACAGTTTAAAAAAAGTCAGTTATATTTTTGAAATTTTAATGTTTGAAAACCTGTCTTCGAATTTTTATTCGGAGGATTCAAAAATCCTCTAAAATGAAGTTTTATGATAAATTTAATGCATCGAAAAACGAGGCACAAGGTCATGAACTCTTAATTTATCAATAAAGAATAGCAAACTATGGTAATATTTCAAACACTACAAGTTCTCCACAAATATTGGAGTTTTGCCACAAGAAACTAAAGTTTCTACTAAAAGTTGGCTAGGATGAATTGAATTTTGCAAATTATAATATTGAATTGCCAGCGAGAATACTTCGACAAGAAAATGTTGCTTAACCTTTGTGAATTATCAAAAATAAAGTACGAAGACTTGTCAAAAAAGACAAAACTCTAAAGGACATGCAAATGTATCCATATTTTTATGCCTAGAAATGATGACGTTGATGAAATTAATAATTAATAATAAACATTGATAAAATGATGATTGTTTTTTATTCTCCAAAAGTACAGAGAATTCGTACTTTTTCGCAAGTACGGAGTTTATCCGCCAAGAGGTTCAGACTACATTGACCTTTGTACTAATTTTGAGGTTCTAACTTTGAATGATTGACGCATTCTTTTTAAATGTAAATTTATTTACAATTTATTAAATTCTCAAATTGATTGCCCTTTCTTACTTAGTAATATAAACTTTAAAATCCCACGTCTTACCTCTAGGTCATGGTATCCTTTTTATTTGCGAAAGCCTACAAGACCAATTGGTTATATGTCTCCGATGTATAGAATGTGTAAAACCATTAACGATATATTAGAGTGTAGCGATACAAATTTCAACATTTTTAGTTTAAATGCTTTAGCTTTCAAACGTAATATTATTTCACGCATAATAGCCCTGCGACCATAATTAAATTTGTATTTTGATTTTTCTCTAATTCCTTTATCATTTTTGTTTTCTTTTGTTCCTCATTTCTTCGCCTGCTTTTGTTTATTTGATAATTACACACATTTTTCATTTATTTTATACATACTTCTTTCTTTTTTTAGTATTATTATACATAAACATGTATTACTTTAATTTGTAGTGCCTATAATGGTTTACCCTTGGCTGTATTTTTTGGTTCAAATAAAAAAAAAGTACGAACTGAATTGACTCTGTAGTTGCGATATTTTTTGGTAGAATGGAAAAAATCTCTCCTAACTGTCAAAGGAAATAATAACTCCTGGTATTCAGATATGAAGGAGCTGAGTATTTCACTGTTAGGTGAGAATGACTGCTCTTGTCCTTGCCGACCCACTAAATCAACACTCTCTGTCTGGACAATTCTTCTTCCAACGGAATTACTGTCAGCTTTTACTTCTTAGGATAAAGTCTCCAGAATTCCTCTTGTGCGACTATGCCTTCTGATTTTCTCGGTCAGTTTTTGCGCCCGGGCTTCTTGACTTCTTCAAAAGATGAAAAATGGCCTAAAAACCATGTGACCACTTTTATTTTTAACATTGAAATGTTTTGTTGGTAATTGTAAACCAAAACTATAAATATCCTTTTATTGATTTTCCATTCAGTATTTATATAATTATCTATTTTATTATACTATTCTATTCGATAGTTCATTTATTGAAAATAAAAGCCTGTGAAATACAAAGACACGGTATAAATATAGGAAAAGATGGAAAAGAATGTATCTTCCTATAAAAGCAGATTCATGTTTCATGACTCTTTCTTTTTCAATTTCCAATTCATGCCGCATGTTCAGTGCCTTATGTTTCCAGATTTTTCGTTTCTGCTTTGTACATGACACGCGACGAGAGTATTGGTTTGTTTACTATATCATCAGAAATTTTCTCTCCATTACAGCAATTGCTACTTTTCGATAGGAATTGATTTATCTAATTTTATTTATTTCTCTGAAAAAATTCACTAAATAATTATTTCGAAGTTCTGCCTTTACCTGGACTGATCTTTATTGAAGATTCATTGAATTCTTCAACCTACGCATCATTACGCATCCATCGGTATGTTTTACTTTTCACAAACAATTTTTTGTTTTTCTTTTTTTCTGTAACAATATTTTCTCTTATTACACCAGGAACAGTTACAATTCTACCGGGATCAATTCCCACAATTTTTTTATAATTTTCTACATTAAATGTCTTGAACCCATCTTCTATTGATTTGAAAATTCAACTAATGATAAATCATGAGTTCAGTAAATTTCTTTATCTCTTCATAGCATCCAATTCTAAATGCATAAGTATTGGTAACAATGAATTTAATTTTTTTCCCTTTAGTTATTTCATCCTCACTAATATTTAATATTTTTGAAATTAAATATGTCATTCCCATTAGAATGTTAATTTCTGTTAAGTTAACATCTTTTCTTTGTTCCACTGTTATTTTTCTTTACCTCTTTCTACTCATTGCAAATATAAAAAAAAGTTCAAGTAGCATTAGTATAACAGACTGATAAGTTACTTTCCACAAGAAATAATATTACACAACAAAAATATATTTTTTCAGAAATCAGGTTCTAACTGTCTTTAATTAATTAAAGTAATGATGTGCGATATTTTGATGCTAAGTGAAGTTCAATCAAAACAGCGCTCTTGTATTTTGTGTGCATGACGTATAATCGATCAGAGGAAAAAGGAATAAAAAAAAAATAGAAAAAAATATAACAGCCAGTGTTCACTGGTCGTCACAATGGTGAAAGTGGACGTATCCTGAGTTGGGGGTTTATAGCTCGCGTGAAGGTATGAGATGGCAGACACGAGCGTTGAAGCTACTTAAATATTGACGCTACGAAAAACGGTAAGCAAATAAACGACCTCTCCTCGTCTACCTATTTTACGTTGATACGAAGTTTTCAACGAAAAAGGTCGTTTCTACTAAACTTTATTTGAAATTTTTGAGTAAAGTTTACGGTTCCTGTATTTCACACTAGAAAAAAAATTCCTTTTCCTCACGTATACGTACAGGTGTGTGTGTGTGTGGGTCTGGTGATAATGATATACGACTTTTTTTTAGAATTTCTTGTTTTCAAATTGAGTGCAAGTTTAAAATTTAGTTCATTGAAGAAAGTAAATTTCTCAGATAGAGAAGAAATTTACATAAGTTTTATAAGTTTTAAATGAATTCCTCCTTTATTTCAGTTACGGTTGAATGAAACGACCACTTTTTACCAGTACTACAAAATTTAATTAAAAGATAAAACTTACCCTAAATTCATCCTTCGCTTTAAAATTTTCCCCATTTCGACTGTATAATTCCGTCTTGGATACCAATTAATTAGCAATTAATTAAAGTCATTATGTCATATATTTATAGAAGAAAAGTAGGAATTTAAAAATAAAATAAAACCGTCTATAAACGAAAATAACAATCATGGAAATTACCACAGCTGTTCTATTATCGATCCACAATTCCTCGCTTACA